CTTGGGCTCCTGGGCTACCATAGGGATGTCTGACTGCCAGCTTAGGCCCAATCCCCCAGGGAGCAGGCCTAAGCCAGGAGGTGGTCATCCCCCGAGGGGTCTCAGACAGCAAGAGGGCACAGGGTGGGCTGAGGGACCCCTCTCCCCACTACCTCTGCCGAGTGCACAAATTTTTGTGCACCGGGCCTCTAGTATATATGTAAAAAAGATGAATCTTAAAAAATTAAGTTCCTCTGTGCCCATGAAAATAGCCAAGAAGTTTTTTTCTCTCTTTTCAGAGAAATTTAAAGTCAGAAGATACTCGGATGTGAGAAGTTAGTATGCAATAACCACTCCTGTCAAGCCCTAATATTTGTCTCTTAACCATTTATTATCTACTAGAGGCCCAATGCACGAAGATTCGTGCAAAAATGGGCCTTTCTGCTCTAGCTGGCTTGGCTCAATGGATAGAGCATCAGCCTACAGACTGAAGGATTCCCGGTTCGATTCCGGCCAAGGGCACATGCTTGGGTTGCGGTCTTGATCCCCAGTGGAGGGTATGCAGGAGGCAGCCAATCGATGATTCTCTCTCATCATTAATGTTTCTATCTCTCTCTCCATCTCACTTCCTCTCTGAAATCAATAAAGAAATATATTTTTTTAAAAAGAAACAATGGCCTTCCTTCCCCTGCTGCCAGCACCACCTTCGCTCCAGCCGGAGCCGCCTTTCTGCCTACCCACGCTGCCCAGAGGCCCGGAGCTGCCTTTCTGCCTTCGCTCCGGCCGGAGCTGCCTTTCCGTCTTCCCACACTGCCAGAGGCCCGGAGTGGCTGGGGCAGTGTGGAACCCCTGTGTTGTCGCCATGGCAGTGATGCAAGTGTCCTGCCCCGCCCCCGGCTGCTCAGTACCTGTGTATTCAAATTAGCCCACCATTGTTGTTGGGTTAATTTGCATAGTTACTCCTGATTGGCTGGTAGGCGGTGCAAAGGTATGGTCAATTTACATCTTTCTCTTTTATTAGTGTAGATTTTTAAAAAAGGTGAGCTAACATTCTGAACTGTTAAGAAACCAATTCTGGAAAACAGTGTATGTGTTCTCATTTTCAAAGTTCAAAGCTTATTTCTGAAATAAAGTTTTACCTCCCGTGGAATTATATAGACTTCTTATATTGTGACTTGGCTCAGTGTAGATTTTTAAATGATCTTTTTATTTTTTCACTTTTTTTAAAAAAATATATTTTATTGATTTTTTACAGAGAGGAAGGGAGAGAGATAGAGAGTTAGAAACATCGATGAGAGAGAAACATCGATGAGAGAGAAACATCGATCAGCTGCCTCCTGCACATCTCCCACTGGGGATGTGCCCGCAACCCAGGTACATGCCCTTGACCGGAATCGAACCTGGGACCTTCCAGTCTGCAGGCTGACGCTCTATCCACTGAGCCAAACCGGTTTCGGCCACTTTTTTTATTGTTTAAAAAAGACAAAGATCTTAATGGTGTCTCGTCATTTTACAAAACTACTACTTAAAAGTACATCCTCTTTGCGATTAAAAAGTAGTCACATGCATCTGTATGCTTTCTGAGAACAGAGTAACTTTGGTCACTTATAATCTATACTAATAAAAGGGTAATATGCTAATTAGACCAGGTCAACCAGCCATTTTCCGGATGTCCGACTTCCTTCCAGACAAAGCCATGATGGTGGGGGCCAAGGCAGAGGCAGTTAGGGGTGAGATCAGGCTGGCAGGGAAGAGCAGTAAGGGGTGAGATCAGGCTGGCAGGGAAGAGCAGTTAGGGGTGAGATCAGGCTTGCAGGAGGTTAGGGGCGATCAGGTTGGCAGGGGAGGGCCGTTGGTGGCAACCAGGCCAGCAGGGAAGGGCAGTTGGGGGCATTAGGCAGGCAGGCAGGTGAGTAGTTAGAAGCCAGTGGTCCTGGATTGTGAGAGGGATGTCTGATTGCCAGTTTAGGACATCCCCTGAGGGGTTCCAGATTGGAGAGGGTGCAGGCCGGGCTTAGGGACACCCTCCCCCCCACCCCCCTCTACCCCCTGTGCATGAATTTTATGCACCGGGCCTCTAGTTTCACATAAAGCTATTCATTCATTTCTGAAATATTTACTGAGTACATGTCCAAGTATATGGTACTTCCAGGTGCCAAATGAGTAAACTTAAGTTTTTTATTAAAATAAGACCCTGATTTTTTGGCAGTTGGGGATTGTGTATGAGAAAATTCTACCCAAATGGAGAATTTTTCTCTGGTCTGCCATGGAAACAAAGTTAATATGCAGTCACTTCATATCCCCTTTCAGTGGTAAAACCATGTGAAAAAGTTAGTAAATACTTTAACTAAATAAATATAGCTTTCCAATTTTATAAATCTGTATCATTGTCTTCATAATTGTTTCATTTACATTGTGATTTATTTGCTCAAAAAATTTTAAATGTCCAAAAACTAGGCAGGGAACATGCCTTCAATGTCCTTTTCCTCTGTGTACCTACTAGAATGCTCAATCTCCAAGAGAGAGACCAAGACCCTGGCTACATGATGGAGGTGGAGGTAGAAGAACAGGACAGGGTATTCTGTCTAGTCTCTAGTAACTTTACTGAGATTAAAACATGTGTTTTCATTTGAAAATACAATAAGCACTACTTTTTCAGCACTCAATAAATATTTATTGAACATCTATTATAGGCCTGTAATGGGCTCTGGACACTAGGTAAATTCAATATATTAAAATGTGAACTTATAAAACTGACACATTAGAAAATTAATTTTTATGTATGTCAATAAATAGTCACAGGTTGTATATTATGTGCTAAGTATTCTAAGTAGTAATTTGAAGCCAACTTTAGAGTAATTTAGGCAGAGACACCACAGGTTACATGATATTAAAGGCTAACGCTAAATTTAATAATTAAAAAGATAGAAAAAGCAGTGTTTAAGAATAGCATATGTATGTTAACTATACTTTTAAAAAGATGCGAGCGCGCGCGCGCACACACACACACACACACACACACAGAAACAAAACAGAAATTCTTATAATCTAGAGAGGAAGACAATTTGTGTATAACTGGTGCTGACTGTGTTAGTAACTGTGTTAGGAACTGTGAGAGGTTGTTAAGTGCCTTTCATTGTCTCCTTTCATTCTCAATGTAACATGTGAAGTGGGCACTATTATTAAACTTATTTTATAGGGAATTTAAGGTCCTTGCCCAAGGTCCTACAACTATTACATGGTAGAGCTAGGATTTACCTAATACCAACACTTACACTCTTACCCTTTATAATACTACTAGAGGCCCGGTGCACAAAATTCGTGCAGGGGTGTGTGTGTCCATCAACCCAGCCTGCACCCTCTCCAATCTGGGATCCCTCGGGGGATGTCCAACTGCCGGATTAGGACCGATCCCACAGGGACCACTGGCTCCTAACCACTCACCTGCCTGCCTGACTGCCCCTAACAGCCTCTGCCTCCCAGCCTGATGTCCCTAACTGCTCCCCTGCTGGCCTAATCACCACCTACTGCTCTCCTGCCAGCCTGATCGCCCCTAATTACCCTCCCCTGCTGGCGCAATCATCCCTAACTGCCCTCTCCTGTTGGCCTAACTGTCTCTAACTGCCCTCCTGTGCCAGCCTGACCGCCCCTAACCTCCTCTGCCTCGGCCCCTGCCACCATTGCTTTGTCCAGAGACGTCCAGTCTAATTAGCATATTACCCTTTTATTAGTATAGATACCACTAACAAAGGGATTTTGGGAAAAGAAGAAACTTAAGCAGATAAATACATATTATATTTCCCAGCAAGTACAGCACTAGTGACCTAATACAATATGTTTTCAATTCATTGGAATATACCTTTATTTTTAAAGTAGAAAGCAGTAAAAAAAAACAACTGGGTTGGCTTTTACATAAATCAACTTCTCCTATGGATCAACATTATTGAAATGCTTCCAAAGCAAGAAGTGCCCATAATGACTTACCTCCTATAGCCAGTGTGTTGGCAGACTGCCAGCCAAACAATCTGCTAGGATCAAAGGGCAATAATGACTGTAAAAGGGGAAAAATTAAATCAGAGTTAAAAGTTAATTGATTCTAATTGCCCCTTGGAGCTCAACCCATAGGCAGCACACTTCAACCAACTACACAATATCCCTAAAAATTTGTTCAGACTCTGCAGATCCCAAAATAAAACTAAAATTAACATGGGAAATTGTGCTTTCAAGGCCTGCAACTCCCAGTCCCTATTAATACTCCTGTAGATATTCAATAAATAGGAAACTTTACTTGTAAGCACTTACAGAAATGGGAAGATTTAACTAGAAGTGATATCAACTTAAGATGGCCAAAATGAAACTCTTTTGACACCAAAATTAAATTTTTGCATCCAAAATTAGAAAAAGCCACCTCTAAAATTAAACTGAATGAATGGGAAACTCATCTTGATTGGAAATTAGAAGCTTCTGGGAGGAGCACAGATAAATTCTCTTCTCCACAGGAAGTTAATAAGAACTTGTAGAGCCTATCTCTGAACTAAGGAAGGCTCCTGAAGCTGCTCAATGCCAATGCCCTACTTTTCCCTCTTCTCCAACTGCCCTGCTGTACACTTTACTTCATTGTCTGGACTTATCTCTCCTTTCCTCCTCCCTCTTCTTTCTCTTCTTACCTCCTCCACCTCAGCTCCCTATGCAGCTCTCTACTGACCTAGGGGACACTCAGAAAACCAGAAAAGTCAGTCTCAGGCAGAGGAAAACCAGAGATTGTACAGAATTAAGGAATCTGCCTAAAGATTTCCATGACTTTCTCCAAAATCCTAATGGGTTCACAAAGGAATTTAACTATTAGAACATGTGATCCTGACTATACTGATCTATTTCAATCAGTATATCTACTGATTTGTGAAGCAAAGCAACAGAATTACTAAATAAGAACTGCTGGGAAACTCCTGTTTATTAGAGAAAGCCAGATCACATTAAGAAGGGTTATAGAAAACTGAAATGGGATTCAGAAAGAGAAAAGAAGCAAGCACAGGGTTGCTCCAAGGACTATGAGAGGGTGTTTCCCTTCTTACTACTTGTTTAGGAGAAATTGAAAGAAAGGAAATTATTAAGACCCTTGTAGATACTGGGGCTACTTTATCTGTTCTTAACCACATCCAAGGAGGTTGCTTTTTCTCTCCGAGTAAAGCTTCGGTACAAATGGTAGGGGTATCTAATCAACCAATGCCTGTTTTGATATCAGAACCTGTTCCCTGCCAACTAGGGAATGTTATGGTATAATATAAATTTTTTGCTAATAAAATCTGCCCCAATTTACCTGATAGAACAAGATTTTCTTGAAATCAGTGACACCCACATATTTTCTATATTCATTTAGAACTAAATTAATTTGATTATTAAACCAATTGGGAAAATGATTATTTTAAAGGAATCTCTGCAAGAGGAAACTAATCTTGAGGCTGTTTGCTAACCATCTTTTCTTCATTATTAACTTCCATGAGAGCCTCAGAATGCCTTAACAAGGACCCTGCATTCCCTCCTAGGGGCAGCGGCCCTCTCCCACCTAGGCCTCTTAAAAGGTGATGGGAAGGGGGAATTAATTGATTCTAAAGTAAGTAAACAAAATTATATGAAAGGACTTCACGGGCAGTCTGCTTCCCTTCTCCAGGGCAACTAAAAATCTTACCTTTCTGGACATAAATTCTTTGAACATAGCTGAACATAAAAAAGAATGTATGAGCCCTGACCGGTTTGGCTCAGTGGCTAGAGCGTCAGTCTGTGGACTGAAAGGTCCCAGGTTTGATTCCGGTCCAGGGCATGTACCTTGGTTGCGGGCACATCCCCAGTGCGGGATGTGCAGGAGGCAGCTGGTCGATGTTTCTCTCTCATCGATGTTTCTGACTCTCTATCCTTCTCCCTTCCTCTCTGTAAAAAAAATCAATAAAATATATATTTAAAAAAGAAAAAAAAAAGAATGTATGAGCCACTTTTCTATTTTAATAAAAATAGAACTGGCTGTGTTCCTTTTAAAGACTCTCTTCACTTCAACTTATGTGTGCAAAGTGCACTCTCTTTTGGTAGAAGCAGCATTAATTACAATGTAAAATGGACTTTAGAAATGTTTTTGGAATCAAAAGGCAAGAGGACTAAGAAGCTAGAATATATTATCACGTAAACATGACAAGGTAAGCTAAGGCAGATCAGGAAAGGAAAAGAGTAAGACAATCAGATCAAGAGTAAAAGAAATGTATGTGCCCAGCCAGCGTGGCTCAGTGGTTGAGCGTTGACCCATGAACCAGGATGTCACAGTTCGATTCCCAGTCAGGGCACATAGCCAGGTTGTAGGCTCGATCTCCAGTGGGAGGTATATGCAGAAGGCAGCTGATCAATGATTCTCTCTCATCATTAATGTCTCTATCTATCTCTCCTTTCCTCTCTGAAATCAATAAAAAAATATTTTTAAAAAATGTATGTGATGATCAAATCATGAACAACAAAGAAAAAAGCAGACTAAGGTCAAGTCAGTCAGAAAAGTTTTGAAAGCAGGGAGCAGTGGCTATTTGAAATCTGTCTAGGCCAAAGGTTTAGCAAAGACTATAAACACATGGTGGGAGGGATACAGGAGAAAACAGAACTATTAAGTCAAGATTTAGATGTCTAAAGAAAGAGCAGCTTTGATTTTAAATCAAGGGAAAATTTGTGGTCTCTACATTAACTGTTCTCTATTTGAAAGACCCAGAGTGGTTTCTGTTTTCCTGGTAGAATCCTGTCTGATACTCCTAAATACCAGCCACCTAAATAAATACTGTACCTGAATAAGGTGGTAGAGTGTAATATCCGGTGGTAGGACACTAGGGGCAGTGTACTGCGGGAAGAGAGCAGTTTTTAGCTTTGGATAAGGAGTTAATGCCATCTTCAGTAGCTGGGGATCTACTTTTTTCAAACAGTTCTCATTTTCTTCATTCTGAACAACCTAAATAAAAAGACAGATAACATGGTATACAGAAATGTTCTTTTCTTCTCCAAATTTGCTCTTTTTTCACAAGAACCTGTGGTGAAAATAACATTGGTCAAGGAGTCAGAAGCCACCCAGCCTGTGTGGCTCAGTGGTTGAGCGTGGACCTATGAACCAAGAGGTTGCTGCTTCGATTCCCGATCAGAGCACATACCCAGAGGGCATGCAAGAGGCAGGTGATCAATGTTTCTCTGTTATCGATGTTTCTATCTCTCTCTCCCTTTCCCTTTCTCTCTCTCTCTAAAAATCAATTAAAATATATTTTTAAAAAGGAGTCAGAGAACAATAGATCTTGTTCTGGTTGTAAGACAAACCACTGTGTGGTCTCGGGGGTCACATTTAACACAGGCTTTAGCTTCTTCACCTACACAGTTAGGAATTTCAGCGGGATCAGTGGTTTTCAAACTGTGTGGAAAAGCTGTTTGAAAAAAGACTGTTGCTAGATTACTTAAAATACTTAAATATTAAATATTGAATTAGATATTAAATAGTAAATATTTTAAAAGAAAAATAACTACTAGGCTAGATGACCCTTGTTCAGCTCTCATGTTACTCAATGACTAATTTCTGAAAGGTGATTAAGAACAGAGAAATAACCATATAAGTTAAGGTATATTGCAACAATCTAAAAGAGAAATCTTTAAAGATTAAATGTTGAAAAGCATTCTTATGTTCCCTCCAACCAGGCACACTATAATTTTCAAAAATGGAGAGATGTGAAAATTTCTATTGGGTCCCTCAAAAGAGTTTACATGGCTAAAAATTATGATTTCCCTTTTACCTAAGAGGGCAAATAGCACAAAATAATTCCCAAGTCACAGATCTAAAGTATACTTACTCCCAGAAACAATCAGATCCTAATTCAATCCTGAAAATGAACCTAGAACATTAGAAAACAAATAAAGGGGAAAAATAATCTCTCTACAACATATTAGTTCCCTTTTAAGAGGATATAAAATTTCAAAATTCACCCTTGTTTTATGCCCTTTTAATCTAATAAAATACTTACGTAAGTATATATATATATTAGACACCCGGTGCACAAAAATTTGTGCACTCGGGGGGGAAGGGGGTCCCTCAGCCTGGCCTGTGCCCTCTCGGTCTGGGAACCCTTGGGAGATAACGACCTGCTGGCTTAGGCCTGCTCCCGGGTGGCAGAGGGCAGGCC